TTTATAGTTACAGCTCTTCTGTTTAGGTCTGTGGACTGTTTCTACTTAGTGCTTGTTAATATCAGCCAGTTAATCTAGTCAGTATTTGTAGATGGTGTGAGGTAAGGGTTGAGGCTCCTTATCTGCATATGGATGTTTATTTAAGCACCTTTTTTTGAAGATTATCATTTCTTCATTGGACTACCTTTGCTCCTTTGTTGAAAGCCCACTGGCACGAACATCATTATTGATTTCTGGACTCTAGTGTTGTATTTTGATTTATAGGTCTATCGTTAAGCCAACAACATTCTGTTTTGACTGATGCAGCTTTACAGTGAGACTTGAAATCAGGTAGAGTGAATCTCCCAACTTTATTGTTCTTCAACACTGTTTGGGATTTATTTCCTTGGTCTTTTATATTACTTTTTGCATTTTAGGGTCAGCTTATTAATTTCTAAAATTAAATAAATAAATAAAGTCACTATGGTTTTGCTTGAAATTGCATTGAAAATATAGTTCAATTTGGGGAGAATTGATATCTTTTTAAATATTTATTTATTTTTGAAAGAGAGAGAGACAGCACGAGTGGGGGAGGAACAGAGAGAGAGGGAGACACAGAACCGGAAGCGGGCTCCAGGCTCTGAGCTGTCAGCATAGAACCCGACCGTGGGGCTCGAGCTCACAAACTGTGAGATCATGACCTGAGCTGAAGTGGGACGCTCAACCGACTGAGCCACCCAGGTGCCCCAAGAATTGATATCTTTTTTTAAAAAAAAGTTTTAATGTCTATTCATTTTTGAAAGACAGAGCGTGAGTGGGGGAGGGGCTGAGAGAGAGGGAGACACAGAATCCGAAGCAGGCTCCAGGCTCCAAGCTGTCAGCACAGAGCCTGACGTGGGGCTTGAATCCACAGAACGAGAGATGGTGACCTGAGCTAAAGTTGGATGCTTAACCGACTGAGCCATCCAGGGGCCCTGAGATTTGATATCTTAACAAGTCTTAGAATGAGCCATGCCAATGAGCATGGCATGACTCCATTTATTCAGGTCTTTTTTAGTCTCTCAGTGGTATTTTATAGTTTCCTGCGTGCATATTTCACACACATTTTGTTAAATTTACCTCTAAGTATCCCAAGGTTTTGATTCTGTTTGTGGGTGGTATTGTTTTTATAACTTCAATGTCTAATTGTCCATTGTTAGGATACAGAAATAGAATTTTTATATATAGGTCTTGTATCTTGTGATTTCACCAAACTCACTTGTTAGTTCTGGTAGCATTTTGTAGCTTAGGGTTTTCTACAGACAATAATGTCATCTGCGAATTGAGATAGCTTTAATTTTTCCTTTCTGATCATGTAAGAGCAGAAACACAGGTGTTTGTTTTTTGGTTTGTTTTCTTTATCCTACTCTGTTGGCCAAGCCCCTCCAGTTCAAGATATAGTGCAGGGACCCGCTCCTGCCTCATCCCAACTGTCTTCCACCATCCAGGAAGAAGCCACTGGGGGGCTTTTGCAGATTCCCTTTCTTTATCAGATTGAAAGAATCTCTTCTGGTCCTAGTTTTCCAAGATTTTTGTTTTTGAAATCATAGATCAGTATTCAATTTTGTCAAATGCTTTTTTTTTTTTTAAATATACACCTATTAAAATGATTGTATGGTTTTTCTATTCGACTGCTAGCATGGTGAGAACATCAGTCAATTCTGAAATGTTAAAGTCACTTTACATTCCTGGAATCTGCCCCGCTTGGTCATAGGCTTTCTTCTTTATCTACGTTGTTGAAATTGGTTTGCTAATATTCTGTTAAGGAGTTTTGTGTCTGGGCTCCTGAGGGATATTGGGCTTGGATCTTCTTTCCTTGCCTTATTCTTGTCTGAACCTGGTAGGGTTACGGTGGTCTCCTGGAAGCGGCTGGAAGTGCCCTAGAAGTGCTTATGCAGTATCCGTGTTATTTCTCACTTGAGTGTCTGGCGTACTGCTCCAGCCAGGCCTCCCACCTGCACTGAGGCCAGCACTGGACTGGGCTAACAGAAGCCTGACCGTGGGCGGTCGTGCTCTTGACCCCCACGAAGACGGGGAGATGAGGTGTTCTGCCATGGAAGTGTTGAGTGTGAGAACTTGTACAACAGACGCAAGGAGAGGTTCAGGAGGGACCTGGCCCCACGGCCTGGAGCTGGGGTGAGGCTGGCAATTCAGGAACAGGCTGAGGCAGTCACCTGGAGGACATGGAGGGGCAAAGAAAGGGGTCCCCCACGGAGCCCTGAGAGATGTCGATGTGAGGGGGCCCCACAGAGAAGACTGAGAAATGGCCACAGAGGGGAGACCCCAGGAGCCAAGGGATGGGGTGGCAACGCAAAGTGGGAGTCTGGAAAGCCAGGAGCGCCCAGATGAGAGCTTTCAACAGGGCCGGGTGCTACTGGGGTTACACGGAAGATGGGTCCTGACAAGTCCTGCAGGCTGGGGGTCCAGGTGAGTGTGGTGGCAGCACTCCGGCGCAGGGGGTTGTGCAGACAGCCGCTGGCCCTTGTTCGGGGCACCTGTGCCTACGGGGGCCTCACCCATCACGCTCCCTTGATTGCTCCGCCTCCAGCTGGCCACTGGGTAACTTCAGTGCAAGGTCCCAGATGCTCCTTACATCCAGCCAGCCCCCAATCCCAGGCCTGGAGCGGAGCCTCTGGCCGTGTGTTCATCGCGGGGACCCCTACACGGGCAGGGCCCAGTCTAGGGCCGCCTCCCACCCCGGGAGGGGGGCTGGAAGGATCTGGGAGTTTGCAGTTCACACAGCCCTCCCCCCCCAAGGGTGGGCAGGAGCAGCGGACGGTCCTGATGGGAGTGAGGGCAGCTGGCGGTGAACAGCGGGGAGCGCGCAGCACAAACCCCTGCAGGTGTGCGGCGCCTGGGCACCGGCGGCTATGAGGCCGCGGGACCCGGCACACGCGGGGTTCTGGGCTCCCCGCCCCCACCGTCTGCAGCGCGGGCGTCTTCCTGCGGAGCAACAGGGGCCCCGCACGTGTGGCGACCTCTGCAGCCGCCTCTCCAGAGCCGTCGGGGCCTGCGCGCCCGGCCCCAGCCGCCGACCCGACGGAAGCCCGTCCGCTCAAAGGCCCGAGAGTCGCCTCCGGAGGGAGGCCGCTGCTGTGTGACCTTGGGTGAGTTCCTTGACCCCGCTGTGCTGGTCATCGTGGACACCCGGGAAAACCGAGCGGAGCACGGAGTCCCGGAGACCTCGCAAGGTCTCCGCCCGGCCGGCCACTCGCCTCCGCGGCGCCGCCCCGCCCGGGGCAGGGGAGGGGGCGAGAAAGTCCTTCCGACCGCGGTGGTCGCGGCCAGCAGGGACGGCGCGGGTGGGCCGGGAGTGGCCGCAGGCCGTGCGCTGCCCCCTGCCCGGGCGGCCCCGCCGCAGCAGCGTCCCGGGATGAGCCTCCACCGCCGCTAGCGGGGCTGCGGGCGCGCGGGGGCCGGGGAGTGGTCCGGGCCGGGCAAGGGCTGGGGCGGAGGGCTGG